GATATCCAATAATGAATGATGAATAGATAACAATAAAATAACCAGGAACCAATACCTGACATTCACCCCCAAAGTAGTATAAGGTAATATATCACAACCCCGACAGCATCAAACAAGTCCACCGGTTTCCTACCTTGGACTTTTCCCCTTTAAAGAAAATAGCACGTGTCATTTAAAGGAGATTATATAAATCTTGAGCGTGGAAACAAGGGTATAGAGGTAAAGTAAGATAGATGGAACCTGAGAATAATGCCCCCCAGAATCTGTGATGATCATAAGTAACGACAACTGAGTATATTGGTATCCCTTTAAGGACTAACAGACAAATATTGTGTCCTTCCCTAGAGTATCAAGTTTACTAACGTAAAAAAAGGCAATTATTACGAGACTAATTCTAGGAAAAGGAAAATTCTAACAACCAAAGATCAAAAAAATTAAGTCCCATACTCCTCTTCTGCCATCTCTGCAAGGAGATTATAATAAAACAACCAAAACTTGTCTAAAAATGAGACCAAAAAACCTGCCCAGACGAGTTAGTTGTTGGATTGTGTCTAGAGATATGTGGGAAAAAATGACAAATGAGGATTTGCGAGCAGACTTCATGAGGTGGAATCAAGTTCCAAGTCGAGACTCAGGATGGAATAACACAATATTAATTGTTGTATCAGACACTCTCTATTTTAGGCAAAATATAGGGACCAAAATAGAAAAGGTAGAAACTGCTTGAAATAGTGTAACCGCTTCCGAAACTCTTCCAATAACCGACAAGGGAGTAAATTAAAAGGAGGAATGATCAGGAGATACAACGACTAGAGTAATTTTATTCCAGAAATATACCAAAGGGGATTAATTGATATGAAAAAGAACGACAGAAGAAGATTCATCCACTTGCACATTTTATTCACACCGGAACCCCCGCAGCCGTGATGCAAGTAGGCTGATGAGTAAGATGATATGCAAAACAAAAATGAGAGAGTATATACTGTTTTATTTGTTCCAAATGGTGATTTATATTTTAGTAAAGGAATAAATTGTATCTGTACATTAGGGTGATGAATTCTTAGTTATGTCCAACAAGACTCTAAATTGTGTTAATATGTGTCACTTCGTCCGTTTGATCAGTCTGTTTGACCATTAATTAATAGTGAACCACCCACTGTCTGGTTGTAAGAGGACTTAAAGTGTCCGGAGTCAGATAGTGAATAGGGACATTCTCTTCCCAGAAATATATGTGAAAGGGCATCCTTATCAGAGGAGGAACGATTCCTGAATCAGCAAATGGGCTCACTTTCCTATGACGTGATCTGTGTTGGGATGTCCTTACCTTATAAGGAGTTGTAAGAGCCGAATACCTCCTCAACACCCCGGAGGAGTTCCATTTGGGAGTTAGACGAGTTGTTGTTTTATCGATTTATTTTGGTTAGTCCCCTCGAAGAACAAAACAACCCCCCTATGAAATCGTGTCTTCATTCTTAGTGAGGTGGGACAAGTACCAACATTAGAGTCTTGTCTTATAAGTAAATTATACAAGTACCTCCATCTAAGAGGTCACCCACAAGCGATCAATTGGTCATTTGTTACATGGGTTCTATATTGTCACTTCGGATTATTATCATGGTCGTGGTGGTGTGTTGTCGATAAAGAAGTGTGTATGTAAAGGGCCAAGTGATAAATGAATCATTACGTACTCACTGTATAAGTATTTTGATAAATCCAGGTGACCCCCCCGCATTACACTAAAGGGAAGGTCAGATGAATAATATCGAAGCATATTATCCTAGTAAAAGTGAAAATACTGTTCTCCCGGAGTGACGTTAATCAAGGAGTGGACAAATAGCGGATTATTTAGCACTGATCAATCCGATATGGAAGAGTAGTTGACATTTGAATCTTACTAAAAAGCTTTTGTAGAATAACAATATTTGGCAAGGAGAAGAACCAGACTTTTTTCAACCCACTGAAAATATCGAAAAAGTTTATAGGTAAAAAATAAATTGACTCCCGACTAAAGAACAACTGATTCACCATGTTAATTTTATTATGAGGATTTAGAAAACGCGAAATACTTCAAGCAAATAAGAGGAAGGAATGATTTATCTGTTTAATATTGTTCAAAAAATCCTAATCCCAACAAATAGTTAACCAAAGGAGGAGAAGGAAAATGTTTGACCGGGTTAATATTGTTTCCAAAATGATCGTGGAAGGGCGTAATCAGATTAACAATACGGCAAAGGATATTCAACCGTCTTAATTTTCTTTCGTACCTAGCAATAACAAAAATAATTACGAACAAGGAAAACAGCAAATTTTCGCGGGGGATGAATTTATTAGCTATATTGATATAGAAGAAATATTTCCCAACAAAAAAAAGGGCGAGTTTTCGACGCGGGTAATTTTATTACATATATTGCTATAGCGGAAAAAATTCCAAAAAAAGAAAAAAAAGGCGAGTTTCCGACGCGGGAAATTTTATTACATATATTGCTATAGCAGAAATAATTGCCCAAAAAGAAAGAAGCGAGTTTTCCACGCGGTTAATTTTATTACATATATTGATATAGCAAAAATAATTGCCCAAGAAAAAAAGGGGTGAGTATTACACGCGGGTAATTTTATTATATATATTGATATAGCAAAAATGATTCCCCAAAAAAAAAAGGCGAGTTATCCACGCGGATAATTTTATTACATATATTGCAAGACCCGGAAAGATTAAAATGACCAAGAAAAAATCAGTGTTTCCTCCGCTTAAAATTGTTGAAAAATTTCATGGGGCATAAAATAATTAAAAAAAGAAGGAAGTGAACATTTTTCCTACGTTTAATTTTATTCCAAACACTTCCATAGCAGCCAATTAATTGGAAGGAAAAAGGAAGCGAAGAATGTTCTACGCGGAATAATTTATTCCATAAAATCATTTGAGAGAAGAAATTAACCGAAGGACCAGGCAGAATGTTGTTTGACTCGATCAATTATATTACCCGCCTCGAAATGGCAATAAAAGAATAACCAAATAGAAAGGGGGCAATTTACCATAAGGTTAATTTAATTCCGGAAAATTAAGGGTGCCAAAATGATGAGCAAAAGTTGGAACAAGTTTTGTGCAGATTTGATTGCGTATGAATCCTAACAACTCCAAGGAAAAATGGAACAAAGCAGGCAAAGGCGCCTGATCAGAAAGTCTAATCTTATTGCAAATATTTCCCACACAGCCGAATTAAACGAAAGTGACCAGACAAATATTCCGTCCATGTAAATTAATTCCGTGAATTCGGGTGCCAAAGAAATAGTAAAGCAGCGGAAAAATCACATGTTCCACTCCTTTAAAATCATTATGAATAATTACGGGTGGATGTAATATTTTGCACCCAAAAAAAGGGAGGGTAGTTTCACACGTGTAATGTCATTCCAAAAATTTGTGTGCAGGAAGATAATTGAAAGAATGGCAAACGACCCAATGTTCCCCCCCTTTAGTGTCATTCGAAATAATTACCCGTGGAAGTAATATTCTGCACACAGAAACAAGGACAATAGTTTCACACGTGTAATGTCATTCCAAAAATGTGTGTGCAAGGAAATAATTGATGGAATGGAAAAAAAGTGAATATTCCACCCCATTACTGTCATTCAGAATAATTACCAGACGGAGATGGATTTTTCCCGAAAGAGAAGAGAAAATAATTTCACACGTGTAAACTCCTTCCCAAACTGTGTGTGCAGGCAAATGATTGACGGAATGAAAAAACAACAAATGTTCCACCTATTTAGTGTCATTCAGAATAATTACCAAAGAAGGCAACATTTTGCCCAAAGGAAAAGGAACAATAATTTCACACGTGTAATGGCATGCCCAACGTGTGTGTGCAAAGAAATAATTGAACAAAGGAAAAAGAAACGAATATTCCACCCCTTTAGTGTTATTCGGAATAGTTACCAGACAGTGACAATTTTTCCCCAAAGGAAAAGGAAAAATAATTTCACAGGTGTAATGTCATTCCAAAAATGTCTGTGCGACGAAATAATTGAACAAATGGCAAGCGAACCAATGTCCCACGCCTTTAATGTCCTTCAAAATAATTACAGGAAGGGCCAACATTTTGCACATAGGAGAAGGAGAAATCATTTCACCCGTGTAATGTCATTCCAAAAATGTGTGTGCAACGAAATAATTGATCAAATGCCAAACGAACGAATCTTCCACCCCTTTACTTTCATACGGAATAATTAGCAGACCGAGAAAAATTTTGCCCAAAGGAGAAGGAAAACTAATTTCACAAGTGTAATATCATTCCAAAAATGTGTGTGCGACGAAATAATTAATCAAATGCCAAATGAACGAATCTTCCCCCCCTTTACTTTCATTCGGAAAAATTCTAAGCCGGGGACAAATTTTGCCCAAAGAACCAGGAGAAATAATTTCACACGTGTAATGTCATTCCCAAAATGTGTGTGCGGAAAAATAATTAAAGAAATCCGAAAATACCGGATGTTCCACCCATTTAGTGTCATTCTGAATAATTACCAAAGAAGGCAATATTTTGCACATCAAAACCAAGGGAGATGATTGACTGGGGTAATGTGATTCCAAAATTTCGGGTGCAGAAAAAAAAAAAGATCAAATCCAAACAGAGCCGATGTTCCCCCCATTTAGTGTCATTCTGAATAATTACCAAAGAAAGCAATATTTTGCACAAACAATCCAAGGGGGATGATTCCCTGGCGTAATATGATTCGAAAAATGCAGGTACGAGAGATAAATGATCGAATGGAAAAGGAACGAATCATCCACCCCTTTACTGTCATTCCGAATAATTACCAGAAAAACCAATATTTTGCGCACAACAAATCGAAGAATAATTTCACGCATGTAAATTCATTCCCAAGATGTGTGTGCAACGAGATAATTAAAAGAATCACACGCCAACAAATGTTCCACCCCTTTAGTGTCATTCAGAATAATTACAGGATGGGGCAGGATTTTGCCCCCAAAAAAAAAAAGAAATAATTTCCCTCGTGTAGTGTCCTTCCAAGGATGTGTGTGCAAGGCAATAATTAACACACTGGAGAAGAAACAGATGTTCCCCCCCTTTAGTGTCATTCGAAATAATTCCCCGTGGAAGTAATATTTTGCACACAGAAACAGGGAAAATAGTTTCACACGTGTAATGTCATTCCAAAAATGTGTGTGCAAGGAAATAATTGGTCCAATGGAAAAAAAGTGAATCTTCCCCCCCATTACTGTCATTCAGAATAATTACCAGACGGGGACAAATTTTGCCCAAAAGCAAAGGAAAAATAATTTCACACGTGTAATATCATTCCCAAAATGTGTGTGCAAGGAAATAATTGATCAAATCAAGAAGCAACCAATGTACCACCGTTTCGTGTCATTTTGAATAATTACAGGACGAGGCAACATTTTGCACACAAAAACGAAGGGGAATGATTTACTGGTGTAATGTGATTCCAGAAATGCACGTGTGGGAAAATAATTAAAGAAATCCCAAAGCAACAAATGTTCCCCCCATTTTTTGTCATTCTGAATAATTACCAGAGGAGGCAATATTTTGCACACAGGAAAAGGAAAAAGAATTTCAAACGTGTAATGTCAATCCAAAGATGTGTGTGCAAGGCAATAATTGAAAGAATGGCATGCGACCCAATGTTCCACCCCTTTAATGTCATTCAGAATAATAACAAGACCGAGCAATCTTTTGCACACAAGAATCAAGGAGGAACATTAACTGGTGTAATATGATTTCAAAAAAGCGAATGCCAGAAAATAATTAAAGAACTGCCAAATTAGCAAATGATCCCCCCATTTAGTGTCATTTTGAATAATTATCAAAGAAGACAACATTTTGCACACACAATCAAACGGGGATGATTGACTGGGGTAATTTTATTCCAGAAGTGCCGGTGCGAAAGAAAAATTAAGAAAATCCCGAAACAGCGGATGTTCACCCCATTTAGTGTCATTCTAAATAATTACCAAAAAAAACAGTATTTTGCACCCCCACGCAATAATGTTTCAATCGCGTAACATCCTAAGAAAAATTCCCTGGCAAGAAGATAATTAACATAATGGAAAAGGAAGGAAAATTCAACCCCATTCGTTTTATTAGGAGTAATTACAGTGCGAAAGTAAAGGAAGAAAAAAAAGAAGAGAAATCTTTTCCGCGATTAGTGTAACTCCAAATAATTAGAATGTGTGCGTTATTTTACACCCCAACAATGATGTATGTTGCACTTATGCAACGTCATTCCGAATAATTATGAAGACAACAATATTTTGCACAAAGAAGAAAAAGACTGTCTCCACAATTTAATAAACTTCGAATTAATTATAAGTCGGGAAATATTTAGCAGCGCGAGGAGAAAATTTTTTTAACTCGATTAATGTCATTCTAGATAATTAAAGGGGAGGGAGAATTTTGAACAGGAGCCAGATTAATTGTTTACCCAATTCCATGTCATTCCAATTAATGATAAAGCAGGAATCATTTAGGAAACAAAAAAGGAAACGTGTTTTCCCTGATTAGTGTCATTCCAATTAATTACGAGGACAATATTTAGGACGCCTGCAGGAAAAGGTGTTTAACCAGATTAGTGTTATTTAAAATGTCCCAATAGCAGGAAATAATGAGTCCCAAAAAGGAAATTAGAACTATCTCTTCCAAAAAGCCTAGAAAGCCAAACAATTCCAAGCCAAGAAATCGACTCCCAAAACTGACAAAGAATGAATTGAGCAGTATGATGTGTATCCAAGTAACAAAAGAGGGTCTTCGACTAAGAGAGCCGAAGATTACCTTCCCTTTCCCATTGTTGCTTACTAAAAAGAGTGAGGACACAGTATCCGAACAACCGACAAAGGATCCGATATCCCCGTCGAAGGTTAGTGAAAATAATTGTCAGGAACAAATTGAGACGAACAAGAGTAATGAATCCTTCAATTCCTCTGATGCGAAAAATTTGGCAAGCATTGGTTACTGTCTCTAGCGGAGGAGAAAGTATATCCCAGGAAAACTATTATTTCAAGAAGTTGCAAAAGGGCATTTAGCACGATGAAAGAGAACAGAGGATGTATTCCATTCGTACGTTTATTCTAGAAATATAACGAAAAGTCCTTAATTATCCTAACAAGAAGAAGAAGGATAAAATTTATCATGTTGCATATTTTATTCAAATCGAATAGGCTAAACCCTTTTAAAAGTAGGCTGATGACTAATGTCCTAAGGAAAACGACTCTAAGAACCTCCATGGTGTTTTATTTTTTACAGATGGTGATTGATTTTATAATGACATGATAACGTATACGTGTACATTAAAGTTATGATTTCTTAGTTGTATCCATTGATTGTCCATATGAATTGATGTTTTGTTATGCATGATTTAGAACTCAAATGAAAAAACTTGTTGCGTGAAAATATGTTCACAAATCCTGAAGAATTGGATCACATCTAGGAATCTGATAATGATGCGTCCGGTCTTATATGTTCAACGTACAATAGGGTTCATGTATCCATCTGAGGTTTAGGGTTGAAAAATGATCACTACTATTATAAACTCCGTCCCAAAAAAATGAGTACCGTCATTTACAACGTTGAACCCCCTCCTAAGTATACATCTGGGTGGAATTAAGAGTTTTGTCCGGCCTAGGATGACCTTCCTTCCATAGATTAGTTCTGCCCCGAACAATATGTAATGTGTTCTAGTGAGTCCAGATTTAGTCTACATTGTGTTAGAATGTGTACCATCTTCCATTTTATGAGTCTATTTTTATGTCCATTATTAGTGAATCAACCCATGTATGGTTGTTAGAGGACTTAGATTGACCCAAGTTAGACAGTCAATAGAACCATTCAAACAACATAATTATGGATGAGGAAGCGTCTTAAACAGGAAAGAATTAATCTATAAGTCAATCTATGGAATCGAACAACTTTGACATCATCCATGTTGGGATGTCCCTTCCTTATAAGGGGTGGTACCAACAGAATGACCCATAGACAACCAGGAAGAGGTCCAATTTCGGAATTAGAGGAGTTGTCATTTTATCATCTAGGATTGATCTGTCGACCCGGAGAATAGGGAAACCACCATCTGAAAGGGTG